CCCCTCCCCCCCCATCGACACGGGGCTCGAGTCAGGCAAAGCATCGTACTTGGGATGTTAAGCTTCATCGTAGCTTCGTCTGTCCTAATCTCGACACTAACACGATGATCGTCCGAGGGCCTACAAGCCCAAAACTTCGTGGGCCTGTTTTGGGGGGGGGGGGGGGGGGTTTGGACCTTTCCCTTTTGGAACGCGCGCGCGCGCGCCATTGCTTGGGTCGGCTTCGACTGGCGGATCAATCCCAAGGTCTCGGGATTGAACGGTGATGGCTCTTGCTGCTCGTCTGAGTTAAATGCTTGGGTCCGCCTATTCCCCCTCATCAGGCAGACGTGGAAAAACAAGGCGAAGCGTCTTGCCGGCGCGCAGGCAGACCGCTCCATTAAGCAAAGATTGTCATAAATAATCATTACCATTCTCACGTTCTTCTCTTGACCCTGTACGATCGACTTTGATTGGGGGGCAGGTGCAGGACGGGTGCGATCCATAGTCCAAGCATGTTCCGGTCTTGTGTGATTACAGCGATGATGCGATCATAGACTGGTTGGGGTGGAAGGCACAAGACGTGAGAGCGCATATTGCGAGCCCAGGTTCGCACGAAAGCTGGCAATTCTGCGTTTTCTAGAAAAGTGCGGGAATCTTCCTTTTTTTTCCCCGAAGGCCCATCGGCAGAATCGCCGATAGCTTGGGCCGGCCATGTCCGTGAGGCCCCGGTGAAGGCTGAGTCACGAGTGAGCATCTTCAGTATCCAGCAGCAGCTACTGCGACTTGATGCAGCAAAGTCTCTACAAATACGCTGCCTCCCGTCTCGAGCGAAGGAGAGATGGGATCCAATTGCGCTTGGCTGTGGGGATTCGTAGAAGAAGTGGAAAAGAAAAGGGAGAAAAGTTTTAAAAGGAGGCGCATGAAGAAAAAGGGCTGTGCCCCGCCGAGCAATGCGTCCGTTGTAAGATCCGTACACTTGCTGCACTCACCCGAGAAGCAACTCGCCCCAGGGCATGCTCCTAACCCTCTTGGGAAGCCTGGCTCCCCTATCCCTCAGACCTTTCGCCACATCGTCCCCGTGCGGTCTCAAAACCGATGATCTGGCATTATCCAGCGCGCTCAGCCGGTTCAGCGAGAAGAGCGGATGATTCTTTGGCTGGGTTGTAGCACGGAGCGCAGGCGGTGGCGGAGGAAACATCAGCAGTGCGAGCTGAATAAAGTGTGGTTGTCGCCCCCACCCTTTCGCACGCATCTCTCACCTCGTCTCCAGGCGCGTACTCGCCCGTCCACCACTCCACAGTAGCGCTCTGTTCGCCAGCAGAAGCGGGCGTAAAGAGGCTTCTCCAAGCCAAGCTGCTCCTAGGGAAAGCCCTGCTGAGCTCACTGAGCATATCTACGCTCCTAGCTCTCCATTCCAACAGCCGAGATTCCGACAAGTCGCTCGTAGCGCTCCTTCCAGCTTTGATATCCTCCTTTGCCCAGCCTGCTAAATCCCACAGTCCAGAATTGAACACTACCAGATCCACACCGGCGCGAGGCGGGGGAAGGGATGGCGCGCGATGCTGCGACGATGTGGAAGTGATGGCTTTGGTAAAGGGCAAGAAGAGGTCGGTAACGCGATCTTCGAACAGTGCTGGCGTCACGTAGGTAGGCAAGTCGCGCCATTTGGATGAAGTATCGGTACCATAGTGAGAGACGCTCGCAACGAAGAAGCTGTGCGTAGCGTGCATCAGTGCGCAAGGCAGAGGGAGGAAGCTCGCGATCAGCGCAGAGCATGGATAGCACTCGCATCATCACCACCACCACCACCACCAGCTCGCTTGCAAACTTACTCGTGATCTGGCAAGTAGCAGTATTGCGCCAACGTCTTGTCGGCAGTGTTGTCTATCTCGGCCCTGTCGTCTGGCTTTGCTCCCAATTTGAGAGCTGCAGCATCATTGTTGGGCCAACGATGATTCTTGGGTACAAGCCTGAGCGCTTCGCTCCACGGATGTCTTCCATCCACCTTTTCCACTCTTTCACCAGCAATGTCGCACAGATGTGTCAGCAATGTCGAGTCTGTCGCATCGCCCACCAGCAGCACCGTCGAGTTGCTGAGCATCGCCAGGCTTGATGCGCTCGGGGTGTGCAGATGATGAGGAGCTGTGGAGGGTAAGCTGCTCAAGAAGCTGGGCAACAAGGGAGAGGCAGAGCAGGCCGGATCGAATGTCCTCCACGTGGCGAGTCCGTTGGGCGCCGCCAAGCTAGGACCCAGCCGAGCCAGGTATCCAGGCAGAGAAAAAGGATCGCACAATGGAGCCTTGACTCCTGTTCTTCGAACTCCACGTGGAGATCCCGATGTTGCTGGACCAGGTCCCAGCGAAGCGACCAGACTGAGAAAGATGAAGACGGCGCTCGCTGCTGTCAGCACCTTGCCTGCTTGCAGAACCAAGGGTGCTGCGGGCGCAACCGGACCACCTGCTCCTCCTGGCTTTCGCGTCAATGGCCGATACTGCGAGTTGGAAGGCATGATTGGACGCGACAGCACTGGCGCTGGAAGGGGCGTGAGAGCAGGTCAGCGCAGATGAAGATGAGTAGACCCGAGTTCCTCGTGAAGCACGTCGTGAAAGTTTGAATCAGCTGATCAGAGATGATGGGGATGGTGAGCAGCTCAAGAGTTAGACCTGTTTGTGCTCGCAATCGCGAACGCCTTCGTTTGCGCGTGCAGTCATCAATGGTCTGCTCCTCATTCTTCTCGCCCCTCAGGAGGGCGCGTGCGCTGAAGAGGCATCTGTGCGCACCAAATCGAACATCACGTGTATGATAGACCGATCACGTGCACACCCTGTCCCCGCGGCTACACCGCGCGAGCGCAAAGGCAAACATTCTTTGGCTCTCGATTCACGACTCACGGACTCCCACCTCTTTACTTATACTGATCCGACTCGATTGAAATGTCTCGAGAAGGTGTGTCACCCATCGATGGACTCTTGACTGGGTACTGATCCATGTGTGATATTCAGCGTCGAGTGAGTCATCCGCATGGAGAGACGGAAAGGAAGGATGAAGGCACGAGCACGCTGGTGGACCAGGTCCAATATGATGCATTACTCGTATTGCGACGAACGTCGTTCCACAAAGCAAGCCGTTCATTTGGACGGTTGGAACACGAGTGGATCGGGCTCAACAAGCTAGTTGCTCGCTTCAGAAGAAGGGTCTGGTAGCTCTCATCACAGATCAGTGATGAACAGCTAGCTGTTCCTGCCGGCATGGCACGAGGGCTGTTTCCTATTCGCATCCACGATTGCACTTGTCGATCTATGCCGGGCCATCATTCGCCGAGAAGATTCTTTTGGCTTGAAGCAGGACTAGGATCGAGGTGTCGAGGACCGTCAGAAGTCGGAATGTTCCAGGCGGGCAAGCACATTTCTTTCCAAGAAGACCGACGTTCCGCTTGTCGCATTCGCACGAAAGGAACTGGAAATGGCGCGATGGGAGGTCAGTTTCTTACGGATCGACGTCAGGTGCACGGACAGTGCAGGAGGGGCGTACCGAACTTTAATGCAGATGGTGCAATCAAGAATCGGAAAGACCGGAAGCGATTGACAAATCTGACGCACGTCCAAGTGAACTCGTGACCGCAGTTCAAAGCGGTCGGACTCGCTTGTCCACGCTACACCCCATGTGGTCCCGATCTCCACGTCCACGCTGCTGGTCCCGGCGCATGATCTGGATGCCATCCTCTTATCTCGAGCTGACGCGTGGACGACGCTAAGGGAATGTGAAAAGCCCTGCTCAGGGTTTGCAAAATCCGCATTGACTGTAGCCCGCGCGAATGATTCCTTTCCTCTCATGCGCACCCTGCCGCTCTTTGCGATGCGCTAAGATCGGTGCTGTGTGTGTGCGAATCACATCGACGATGCGACCCGATGAAGACTGACCGCAGGGATTGGAAGAACGAACTCTTTACTACCTGGGGACCGCTCGCTGCGAGCGATATAGTCGCACCCTCAAAATCGCAAATTCCGCAAGAATCATTGTAAGGCAGTAATCGTGACTGTATGACTCGCCGGTAACTTGAGATCAAGTCGCCGAACTGCACGCCCTACCGTATCTTGCGTTCAGAGTGTACGAATCGCTTGGCGCTGACGTCAAAGCGTACCAGTGCGCGAGTGCATGCAAAAGAGCGAGCGCTGCGCTGCTCGTCGTTGCCGTATTCCCAGCTTGGACTTCCTCATCCATTCATGTGGACGGAGCCTGATCTTTGCATGTTAGCGCAAGAATAACCGACAAGCAAGCACGATGGTGCTGTAAATGTGAGTCGAACCTTCAAGAGCAGTCGCAGCAGTGATTGCAGCGCAGTTCGAAAGCAGCCCGCGCATTGTGCGGGCGGCCGGAATCTTTTGGGTGGTGGTGCACGCTTCCGGCTCGCTTAACGACCCCCTTAACGCGAGATAAGAGTTTTAGCGTGCGCAGAGGGCTGTGGGGATTCCGGATCTCAACACCGCGCTCGCCGCTCGCCGTTGATGCCTGCAGCTAGGTCGGCACGCGCCAGGTGGAGGGGAGAGTCTCAAGCGAGCCGAATGCTGTGACGCTGACGGCTCGCTCGCATTCGTGGGTGCAATCAGGGGTGTGATGGATCAAAAGGCAATCAAATTTTGCAATCAAATGTGACTGAAAGCTTTCAGCATTCTCAATTATGTTTGATAGGAAGTCATCTTCGCTACCTCGGCACCGCCTATACGCTTGCCGGTGAGTGTAATAGCGGTGCAGTACACGTAATCTTCGCGCTGATCGGCACAGCACGGGTTGCCGCGAGGCGTGGAACAATCCATGAGCAAATGCATCGCACCGGCGACCCAGAATCGGAGCTGAGTGCTGTGCGGGATCGTCGCAATTCACGCGGCGATTCGAATCGTGGATTGCTGTAGCGATAGCGGTACAGGTCGCCGTCTAGACCTCTATCGTCATTCAATTCGCGCTTGGGTGCAGCTAGGCAATCAAGAATCAATGACAGCAACTTGCGAAATGTTGTTGCTAAGCTTCACATGCACCGGCGGAGTTTCTCATAGTCTCCGTGAGTTTTCGAAACTCAGCAAAAAGAAGTCAAACTCCGCCTATTGAGACTCAGATGCTTGTAAATGTGGTCATGCTGCGTCCCGCGTCGACGTAGCGTCAATCACGATTGGCAGATGGGAAACGGTCTGAGATGCAAGCAAGAGTCGACTATGCTGAATCTGGGTTGCGTAACGACCTGCCGAGGTTGTGTAAGGAGGATCATCGGACTCCGCCCTGCTGCGAGCATTGGCGGTGATTTACACAGATCTATGAGGAGCGTAGGTGTTGCAGCGTCTGTCGCGAAACTGTTGGTCACTCTTTACGGCACATTCCAAGGCCCCACATGCCACTGGATGTTGATCGCGTTGCCCAGGCTTCCCGCGGCTGGCTGTCGCAAGACTCACTCTCGCGAGGTTTTGGCTGTGCGCCGTACTTTGCTTGTTCCAAGGGGCAAAGGAGGGACACACTGTACATCCTGATGGATAGGATGAGCAGAAGCAAGACGCCGAAATATGCTGCAAGCTGCGCAAGCTCCGAAGATTCGCGGACCGCAAAATCGAGCTCTAAATGCAGACGCCGAGGCAAAGTGACGCGGCGCAACGCAACATTGCTCGTGATTCGCATTTGCGTGTGATACTGAAACTGTGCTCTACTCGGCACCATCCCGCAGGAGTGCTGCTGTGACCTGCGAGTGACGGTGGACCGAAGGCAAGCTCATCCGATGGCCGAAAAGATCGTGTGATTGAGCGCAGAAAGTCGCATGCGTCCCACCAACAGAAATAATGTAAATGTGACGATGCTTCGAGATGTTGTGGAGCACGAGATCGCACGAAACACTTCTCCTTCGAGTTTCTAAATATTGGACCCCTATGAACCCCGCAAACTGAGCTAGCGCACCGTTGCATCACCGATCCAGCCGTCCGTCACCGTCCGCGGTGAGTTTTCAAAGAGCAGCTCAGCTGCATGTGCATGTGCATGTGCATGTACTCTACGGTAGATGCATGCAACCCTTGCATCTGCATGCGTCCACGCGTTGCGTTGAATTCCGGTCCGACCTCCGGTCGACGCGGCTTGAGGCACTGCGGCAGTCAGAGTGTGCGATCGACGACCCGGCTGTGCAGGACGTGACGCGATCCGCTTTATTGGTCGACGCTTGCCTTATCTCTACGACGCTAATGCGACATTTTCATCATCGAAGAACCATCCTTCTGTCGATTTCCCCTTCTACAAACACCACCTCACCACCGCGTACATCGGTGGACACCCACCCTGTCGCCTGTCCGTCGCATGTCCACGCACCCTGCCTGGCCTCTCGAGCGCAGTTCCGTCTGCAAGAAGCAGGAAGATCTCATGCTGCGCAAGCTAAACCTCTCACGCGCGGATACCCAGTGCCGAAGTGCAGCAGACTTCAGGCCATGACCGGCAGGGGGAGGGGGCCTCCTCCAACGGCGATTCACTGTGGAAATGACTGAATACCTACGATCTCGTAGCGCGGTCATAGAGGTCTGTGCATTCAACATTCGACGACCCCTTTAGCTTCTCTTGGCCTGCGTTTGCATAATCTCGCTCAAAGTTCCCTACAGCGGATGATTAGCACAGGCAGCGCTCACCCGGCCATCCCCATCAGGTTGTCACATCCGTACGACGTAGTCATTCACTAGCGTCCACTCTTATCTCTCCTCACCAAAGACCACACGACGACCCGCACGTTCGTGTGCGGACACTCGACAATGAGTCGCTGAGCCTGGTCTAGGTGGGCAGGGGCTGGGGCCCTGACGCTAGTCGTCGCATGACTTTCCATGGAAGCGAGCCGCTTATGGCTAGCCGATGGATGGTACACATCCGACTGGTCAACAGAAGCTATAAAGAGGGGCTTCGGATGTGTTCAATCATCCATCTTCTTCCCTCACTACACTCGGTCTCTTCAACCGCTCACCTCACCTCCCTCAACACACGCCCATCAAACCCACCCTAATCCAACCCACACTCACCTTTCAAAATGCGTTTCGCTGCCCCCGCTGCTCTCGCCATCGTTGCCTTCGCTGGCTTCGCCTCTGCCGTCCCCGTTGAGAAGCGCGCGGACTCTGACCTCGTCAAGATTGGCAAGGCCGTTAAGACCGTGAGTACAAACACCGGTACGGTCTTCACCGTCGATTTTCTCTTCATTTCTCTGACTTTGAACCATGCTTTCGTCAACAGTTGGAGGATGCCCTCGGCGTGACGGACATCGACGCCCTGCTTGACAAGGCCACCGGCGGCGCTGTTACCGCTCTGGAGGACAAGCTCGGCATCACTTCGCTGGAGGAGGCTATCGGCCTCGCTAAGCGTGCCGACTCCGACCTCGTGAAGATCGGCAAGGCCGTCAAGACCCTGGAGGATGCTCTTGGCGTCACGGACATCGATGCTCTGCTCGACAAGGCAACCGGCGGAGCCGTCACTGCTCTCGAAGACAAGCTGGGCGTCACCTCTCTCGAAGAGGCCCTGGGTCTTGCCAAGCGCTCCGGAGACCTCCAACTGATCGGCTCCGCCGTCAAGACCCTTGAGGATGCTCTTGGCGTGACGGACCTCGATGCCCTGCTCGACAAGGCGACCGGTGGCGCCGTCACCAAGCTCGAGGACAAGCTCGGCGTCACGGATCTCGAGGAGGGCATCGGCGCAGCTAAGCGAGCGGCCCCCGGCGACATCCAAAAGATTGGAAACGCTGTGAAGCTCCTCGAGGATGCTCTCGGAGTCACGGACATTGACGCTCTGCTCGACAAGGCGACTGGAGGTGCCGTCACCGCTCTGGAGGACAAGCTCGGCGTCACTGACCTTGAGAAGGCCATTGGCGCTGCATAAGCTCGAGGCTCGCTCGGACCGACCGACCGACCGCTGCACGCCTCTTCCTTCCACCAAAACCAGCGACACGCCACGTTTGCCTACCCTAGGCGACATACGCTCTTACCTCATTCGTCTTTCTTCCACCCTCGCAGTTACCACCAACACTCGCTCGTCTTGACACCTGCTATCCTTGTAATATTCATACGCGCTTCGTTTAAACCAATAGATTCACTGCAGACAATTTGAGTGTGATTGCATTGACCTCGCTATTCGCTGCCGACACTTCCTTGACTTTTGTCTTCTGTATAGCTGAGTCGCAATGTAATGTCTGAGCCCAAAGCCCGTCGCGGCGAGTGGTCTTCTTGGGTGCGCGCGCTTTGCGCAATGCGCGCCGTTCCAACGCCGAGGATCGGTGAATGCAGCATTCGCGTAGCCGCATACTTTGCAGCCTGATGCCAGGATCGCGTAGACAACCCCAACCCCAACCCAGCTTGTGTACTAGGTGCGTGTCGACACGATATGGTCCCCGCAAAGATGAAGCGTGCTAAAACCGATCACGATGGTCGAGCAGAGATCCAACCGTGAACGTCGCTTTACCCAACGTACAAGCGCCGAACCCCGCCGCATGATCTACCTTGGAGACTGTCAGCGCCTGAACAATGCTCGTGCGCGCAGCAGGTGCCGGCACCGGCACCGGCACCGGCGCCCCCCCCCCCCCCCCCCCCCCCCCCCCCCCCCCCCCCCCCCCGCGGCCAGAGCGGTGGAAGCGTGCCTCTGAGGCGTACGATCATGAAGATGTAGGAAGAAAGCGTGGGGAACTAAAACGAGCCACAATGGCGGCGAAAGCGGGCTTCCTTGAGGCTATTCGACCGCCGGCAGGGGCAAGAAATGCACCGAATTCAATATCGAGGTTGCAAATTGCGCGACCATCCCGACGTAGCGCCCTATGCCGAACGGGCTCTCTCACTGGGACGCGCGAGAGGTCCACAATCTTTTGTTCTCGCACACTCTTCCAACAATTTCGAAGTGAGTCTGCACGCCAGCGAAAGCTATGCTGTGCGAGATCGAACAAGTTCGCGAGGGCGAGCGATCTTCTTTGCCAGTGATTCATGGCTTCAAGACTAGACACTACGAGTGGACGTGCTGATGAATGACTGCATAGACGGAAGTACCTTTTTCAAGCATCAACCCACTTCCGAGTGGGACTGCGTGATAGCTGAACAATGTCGAATACGAACCCTCTCTGGTCGAGTGCTGTAAAGGCTATGAATGGGACATGCTTTACGAGCGACTAGACCGGCGCACCGTCACCAAATTTCCAGCAAAAAAAACCTACGGCATCTAGGATTTTTGCGTGGTCCCCCACCGCAATACTGACTAGACCATACAGGGTTAGGCTCGCTTCGCTTGCGGCCTGGCCAGGCGCACAAGTGCGCCCGGTCTCCGCTTCTGGGATCAGACGGGACCAGGCACTTTTCCTGTGGTGTGGCCGTACATGTCTGCTTCTTGCTCTTACACGATCATATACAATACTTTTACATACACACTGTCCTGTGCAGGGAGCGTAGCGACCTGCACCAGGCTCTGAAAGCTCGGACGAGATTTGCCCTTGCCTGTTTGAATATGATCAACGACTTGATGCTCATTAGAAAGAGTCAGGATGTGAATAGACAGTCTTGAGTGCGAGCTACCGCTCATTCACATTTGGATTGATCGATGTTGCCGCTCATGAGTGTATGAGAATGCACGCTTGCGCGTGCCAAGGTAAGCGCGTGAGCGCGGCCTCCTGCCGCGAGGTGCGTGCGATTCTCTTAGCTCGTCCCTCCACTACTTGCATCTTAAATTGTTTGGCCCATGATTGATTGACGGTTGTAAAGCAACACAGCACAGCCTTTCCTACAATTACGCGTTTTTGGTGGGACGCGCCCGCGCGTGTCATCACAATCAAAATTGACTTCAATTAAATTCCTGTAGGTAATGACCGCGCGCCTGCATGTACTGTACGCTGTTGCTGATTTTTGATTGCTGCATGCTGCTGCTGCTGCTGCTGCTGATGATGGCTGCTTAGGCGGGCCTTTGGTGGATGTCTGATATGCCTTACAAATCACAACCATGACACATCGTCAAATCACAAATTCAACGCTGCGTCAGGCGATCCGCAATGCTTCCGCACCCTCACCATCTCACAAACCTAACTCTGCCGCTCGCAGACTCGCACTCTGACGGTGTGCGCCGATGATCTGCGCTTTCTTGCCCTCCACTTGCGCCCCAGACTACCTTGACTGGTCATTTTGAGCATCCATTTCAGGTCAACTTGCCAAGAGCGTGGAGAGACACCTCGACCTCTCGAGAGAGTTGCGCGGCCTCACGTGGGACGGAAAAGCGGACGACAGACAGACGTGGGGAGGTACAGATCTGCAAAAAGAAACAAACGGTCCGCATCTCCTTTGAAGCGGAGGGGGGACTCGCCATCGAGGTCGGACGCAGTGCGGAAGAAAAATGTGGTCAAGCATCAATGTCGGTTCATGCTCTGCTCAAATGCTCTCGTATTGCGACTCTACCCCAGTGGCAACATTGACGAGCGCGAGATCGAGCAGTACGTCAAGTCATGCCACCTTGAATGCTCCTTCTTCGTCTTCTTCAGTCAGCTCGACGCGGTCTGAAGCTAAGGTCACGTCTAAAGCCTCCATTCCGCCCTATGCAACGCTCATATCGGGAGGCGCATCAGGTCTGGCATCATGCCTGCTGCTACAACCTCTTGATCTGCTCAAGACGCGCATGCAACAATCCCCAAGGTTACGTTCTGCTGATGATGGGAATGGCACGCGTGGCAGGGACTGGAGCGCGACGGGAAGAACTAGGAGGTTGGTGGGCGTTGCTAGAAATGTGGTGAATGAAGAAGGTGTGAAGGGTTTATGGAGAGGAACGGGTCCCACTGTGGTTAGGTGAGGAAGCCTTGAAGCGTGAGCAGTGGGCAATTGTTTGGCCGGGAGCCTCCTTCTGCTCCACTTCTTCGTTGTCATTCAGCAGTGGAAATTCGCTGACTCACTTCCCAACTCACATCCATTCCTCCCGCCCGGCCGAATTTTTTGGCCGCCTTCGCTTCAGGAATGTGCCGGGCGTAGCGCTTTACTTTTACTCGGTCACGGAACTCAGAAGGTTTTTGTCCAATGCAAACGTACCCATCTTGTCCGTTGCTCCCCAGATCACCTCTAGCACGGGCAAGGGTAAGGGCAAGGAGAGCACAATGGCAAGTCTGAGTGCTATTGGGAATTTGACCACCGGTGCAGCGGCCCGAACTGCGATAGGCTTTGTCTTGTGTCCCGTGACCGTAGTCAAGGCGCGCTTCGAGGTGAGTAGCACAGAAAAGGAGAGAGAAAGGATTTGGAAGGGAGTTGCGGATGTAGCGGAACACGGAACAGGTGCAGAGCGTACTCTCTAATTTCGCATTTTCTCTCTGTCCCCTCTTGCATCTCTTCTTTCTTTCACTGTCTTCAACAACAGTCGTCTAATTTTGCGCCAACCGCATACAAGTCGATTTCCTCCGCCCTGGTGCACATCTACAAGACGGATGGTGTAAGGGGCTTGTTTCAAGGATTCACGGCGACGGCGCTTAGGGATGCGCCCTACGCTGGTCTGTACATGGCTTGCTACGAGAGCTGCAAACATTGGCTGGGCAGCGTATCCGATCGAGGATCAGGTTCGACCAGGGTTGTCATGGCCAGCGGTGAGTCTTCATCATCACCCTTCAAAGATTATGCCGGTACTTGTCCCTGATTCGGGTCAATCACAAGTGCTGATCCCGTTTGCGACTCCTCCCGTCTCTTCGACTTGGTCCCTTTCTACCATGCGCGCAAAATACGCACGTGCAGGTCTGATAGCGGGCACAACCGCGACGCTCTTGACCCATCCTTTCGACATCCTCAAGACGCGTCTACAAACTACACCTCGGTCCGCCATCAGCGTCAAGGCCAATGCCAGCGCTGTCGCCCTTGGCACCAACACCGCATCGCAGAGATCCGCTTCCACGACGCTCATTTCGCTCACGCGAGAAATGCTGAGCAAAGAAGGTGCGGGTGCTTTTCTGGACGGATTGGGATTGAGATGCGCTAGAAAGGCTGCGAGCAGCGCTATCGGGTGGGGCATCTTTGAGTATGGCAGGAATGCTTGGTTGAGATTAAGGCACGCTTGATATCGACCGGACTCCTCCAACAGCAAGGTGGGGGGGGAGAGGTTTGTGTAAAGAGCGTGCAGGCATGCCACGCCACGGCGCGATCGGATCGAAGGGGCGCGCGGGGAGTTGAAGTGCAATGGATGGGAACAAGGGAGAGCAAATTTCCCGCTTCGATCCTCATCAAGCCAATCATCGCACGAGCCGATGTCTAGGAAAGGAATAGCATGATACACGGGGGAATTTGCAGGTGCTACACGAGGCTGTCGAGGTGCGCAATTGTAATTACCAGACTGTGCCGTAGCCGTGCGCTCGCTGATTAGCTTCGAGTGTCAGCCACCCTTGGCCGGCCTGCGCCTTGACCTGCGAAAAAAGGCGTGGAGTGGAGCGAAAGCAGCGGAGCGTCAGTCGGCGCTGATGGCCTTTATCTTCTTCTCACGGCCTAGCACCACGATGTGCTTGCTTGCTCGCTTGCTTGCTTGCTTGCCTCACCAGGACCATTTCCAATTTGAAATTGGTCAGAGCGTATGTGCTCGATGAGGCGTCTATGGGGGCGAAAGGCTTCATTTGCTTCTCGTAACGGCGCTTTAGACCGCTGGGCGAGGCGGGCAAAGCGAGGCTGATGTCGATCTATCGTCAGAGAGACGCATTCGATCGGTATATAGCGTCGGGGGAAATGTTTGGGGAGTGGCTGATCAGTAAAACGCCCGGCTTGGACCGAGTGCCGACCAAGTCGCGCAAGGCAGCCAGCCACTTCACCTGATCCTCTTTGAATGTCACTTTGCAATCTTCCTTGTCAACCCCCTTGGCGTATATTGTCACGTGAACGTCCTTTGGCGTCTCGTAATGATCCATCCTACACTCCACCCTTTCGAAGCCATCTGTCCGCCTTTGCTCCTCCGTCTCCTCGTCCATCGATCCGACGAAGAGATGACCGGCCTTGGATGTGGTGCAGGGCTTTATGCTCAAGAAATCGTTGAAATCCATCACGCGTTTGGAGCAGCAAGAGTAGCCCTGCGAGATTGAGCGTGCAGAGGCGATGAAGAGCAATTGCGATCGATGTCTGTCAGCATCAGAAGCATGTCGATTCCTGCCCTCCGGCCCCATCTCCACCACACACATGAGAAGATGCGAGAGGGTATGATTTCTGGGGAGGAGGAAAAAGAAACTCACTTTAGAGCCTTCGTGAAAGATTGGCGCTCCTTTGTGGTACGTGCAGATCTCTTCCTGTCTCTTCCTCTCTCCATCTGCAGGCGTGTGCTTGACGCCGCAGCCCAACCTTTTGCAAGTGCTTCCGTGGGACACGACTGCATCTGGGGGGTCTTGCTGCTCCACGTATTCCTTTGGAGCTTCTGCCACGACGGAGGATTTGCCCTTTTCTTTGGAAGTCTCTGCCACCTTCATCCTTTGCAGACTTGCGAGATGATTCGCGCTAAGCGCTGCACCCTGACCCGCACCTTTACCCTGTTGCTGTCCATAGTACTCCTTCCCATCCTTGTCCACACCACTCTTCCCTCCCGCATCCCTCTCCTTGTCCTCCTTCTTCAAAGGCGCAACCTTGACATCCGAATGCCGTTCGGCCGTACAACATCTTGGCAATCGTAAGAAATCATCGAAATCCGTCACTGGCTTGTGCGTTTGTTGACAGCATGACCAGGATTTCAAACCTTCGTGAAAAACCGGCGTGCCGGAATGGTATGTGCAGGGAGCGGAGGAGTGGAAATCTTGCCCGCAACCTAATCGGGTGCATGTCGGCATGTTGCGGTCGCCTTTTGCTGCTGCTGCTGCTGCGGTGGTGGTGAATTTGGTCAGAGAGGGAGCATGTAGAGACGAGTTGAAGGAGCGGATTGCAATGCTGCGTCGAAACACGCATCGGATCGTGAAGAAGCAATCCTCAATGCATACAGACGACTACTGCGTGTGATGATCAACAAGCTGAGGACAGGTTAGCGCTTCCATGTGATTTCAATTTTGGCACACGACACGCCAACCATGCAGCAGCAATTAACAAACAGCATGCAGGAATCCGACAAGGCTTGAAGCGAATCACGTGGTGATCTGAAAAATCCCAGGAGATCGGAGATCACGTGATGAGCTGCATCACCGCCGCTTTAATTGAGCTGTGTGTGTGTGTGTACCCAATCAGGCGCGGTCCATCTCTCAGCGAGACGCATGCTGCAAACCCGGCGCTCGACTTCTCCACGCACGCGACGCTCGCGCCGGTCCGATCAAGGCCGCACCTCCCGGGAGGCCGGGATGGAGTACGCAACGCGATCGAGGGAGGAGCACGCAGCGCGCAGCGCGCGGGCAACTTGGCACACGCGCTTACGCATCGGGGCACATGTTCATTCGTGATTATCATCAGCGTCCTACACCATATCCATTGCCCCGAGATCGACTTGAACGCTTCCTTTAACCCAGCTGATCTTGAAATTTGGCCGTCCCAACCCCACATTCACGCCTACTTCTTTCCTTGCGTATCGCTCTGGACCTGGCCCTGCCCTGGCCGACTTTGTCGCATCTTCGCAATAGGACTCGACCCTTTGCAGCTCTCTTGTTTTCCTCGGGTCTCGTCCTAATCCTCGGTCTTGGCCTCGTAGCTTTACTTCCTCGCTACTCACGCAACGCTCGCACTTTCATCCGCTCCTCAAGCTCGATCAAAATGCCCGACGCAAAGGTGAGTCTCATCTGAATTGCATGTGGGGAGGGGTGCGGGGGCTTGACACGAGCATCAGAATGGTCCAGGCTGATCTTGGTACGCCCAAATCTTTCTGCGTATACAGACCTTTTCGATCGACGAGATCAAGAAGCACAATAGCGGTGAGTAGCGAGCCCATGCAAGCTCGAGCAGGTCTAGCTTGGCATGGTCTTTTTGAATGGATGCATGGATGGGTAGAGGTAATGACGATACAGATGGGCCTTTGCCGCTTCAAGGAGCTTCCTTGTACTGTGCCAAGGGCTAGAGAACATATAGGATAGGAGGAGGATGCTGGTAGTCTGGACGCGGTGCGATCATGCTCGCCTCGTTCGACCTCCCGTCCTTTTGTGCAGACAGCGGTCTGCACAGTCGATGGCTGTAGGTGGTAGCATGGTACACTTCACTTTCCTTTGCTCTAGGTCAAGCCGCGCCCTGTCCTCGTCACGCGCATTTACAGCTGGTGCGAGCTGTTACCTGGCACGCATGTGGGGTGGAGGAAAAAGATGAAAGTAGTGCGCACACGTTACGTCCCTTATGCGTCCATCTTGAAGGTCGTGGCAATGGACGGATGGAGACGTTCTCAACTGACAGAATCCTCAACTTGTCATCGCCCCCCACCGATCCAGAGGAGTCCATTTGGGTTGTGATCGATGGAGGTGTGTACGACATGACCTCTTTCCTTGACGATGTGAGTATCGGCCTCCGTTGTTTTTCTTTTTGTTCAAACAGCCAGCGAGCACATCGACTTTTCTGGACAGCATAGTGGACACGATGTTCTGACACCTTGCCGCGCTCCGATTCCCTTGCAGCACCCTGGAGGAAAGAAGCCGGTGCTGCGCATGTCGGGCAAAGACGCTTCCGAGGCTTTCTGGACTGTAAGTGTTGATGTTTGGAAGTACGTGCCACCGCAGCAGCAGCACGTACCTCGGATATATGCTGAGAGTATGCTGTGCTTCTCCTGTTGCATCACGCAGTATCACAATGAGAAGATCTTATCCAAGATCGGAGCAAAGTTGAAGATTGGAGAGCTGGAGCCCAACGCTAAGCTGTGAAGCTGCCGTGTATTTGCAAGCCTCGACTTGCTTTTGCTCCCAGAGAACTCCCCCTGCGCGTTTGGTCGTGATGATAACGCGAAGATGGGCCAAACACTGCGGAGCAAAGCTATCTGAGAATGGGAAAGACCTTGATATGTGGGCATATTGCAAATATGATGATAATCAAAACATCAGATAAAAACCGTCATTTGCGTTGCCACGTACGGTGAGGTAAGCGTTTCGAACGGCTCTCGAGCAGAGTCGAACCGACCGAGCTTTTGAGGAAACAAGCCTTGCGACCTGCTTTTGTGCGAAAGAAATCTGATAGAGGTGGATAGCGAGCGGTGTCGCATCTCCTTTACTCAAATCACATCTGCCCAAGGCCCAGATTTGGAAAGCCTGCGAGAGTATAGCGCTCACTCCTGCTGTGGTGAGCACTCGAGACAAGACGTCAAGCCCCTCGCACTCGCTTTCCCCACTTTGTCCCCCCGTCGCGCGATTCGTGTCATCTTCTCCCCCAACAATTCCAAAAGGAGCGAGGCTTGCCAGGGATTCTGCAGCGAACGGGCGGGCTGATGACCATCGCCTCTCGGCAAAGCGAAGTCGTACGTGTGAATGCGCTGGGGAGGCAGCAGGGATAGGATTGCCGGGACGTGAAAAGTCGAGATCGAGCCTTCCTTTCTACTTGCCCACGCAAAGCAGCCTTGCCTGCTTTGCTCCCCACCCCCTCTCCATGCATGGGACCCACGTATTTGATGATGCCAATTCCATGCCATTAGAGACTCACCACTCAGACTCGCGATGCAAGCCACATTCACGATGCACTGGTACAGTAAATCTGCGCGGACAAAAGTTCTGATGATGGCAATGTGCATGGAAGTAGAGATTCACGATCAAGATTCGTGATTACAAACAAGACCCCCACAGATTCAAAGCTTGAATCGCAGCAATGAGGATTCTGATTGTCGAAAGGAGAGGGGCTTCGCATCGTCTGGCTCCATCACGGGAAGAAGGTCGCATCTCATTCAAACCTCGGCTCATGACACATCCCTCAGTCAAAATTCACGATTGTAAGTGTGGCTCTTTCTCAAGAGCTTCAGGCGAGTGCGATGCGAAACTTTGGGCAAGCATGATCGGCAAACCGCGGTTATTTGCTTGGCGCACAGCACAGACTTTGTAGCGTCGACTTTGTGTACCAGTCGTGAGTGTGAGTACAGTAGCTGGAACGAAAAGGATTTCCTCCCATCTGACCAGCACGCGAGCGTCGTCCTTCAAGATTGGAGTCCGATGATGGTCAGCGCAGTCACGCGCCCAATGATCTTTGGAGCGCCTAGCTGCAGCCTGTGCACTCAGACTCGCGGTCTAGGAGTCACGAGTGAGATGGATGCCTCGTCTGCAAATGCGCAAAGAATCCCTACTCGCTCACTCACACACCATGTGATGTCGCAGCAGCAGAGCTGACTGTCGATGTGATTCGTTTTCGCTTACATTTTGCTGCATAGAATGGAGATGGGATCGCCTTGCTGTTTTGAAAAAGCCCAATTTGAATCTAAATGAGAGAACGTGAAAGTATGCAGCAGCTTACCGCCGCCACCTTGGCGCGCCTTCTGAACGTCACGAGTCGGAAGCGAGGGTTTGCCCGAGCGCGTCTTAGTTGCTGATCACCAGCAGGAGCAGGAGCATGAGAGGGTTCTGCTTAGCTGACCCATGACCCACAGCAACAGTCACTGTACCTACTGTAGGTATAGGTACTGTAAAGGTAGCTGCATGCTTTTGCATCCGGCCCGGCCGGTCGACCAAATGTCCTTTGCGCATGAAAATGCCTGCAGGCACCCAACCTCTCGTGAGTGCGTACCACCAGCAGCCACCACAGAGGACTCGTGAGTGCATGGTGACTGCACGGATCGGAGCCTCCACCCGATCCGGCCCAAACGTTCAGGAGCGAGTTTGCAGCAGGAATGAGAGAGAGAGAGAGAGAGAGAGAGAGAGAGAGAGAGAGAGAGAGAGAGAGAGAGAGAGAGAGAGAGAGAGAGAGAGAGAGAGAGAGAGAGCATGCTGCTCAAATACCGGATGGCGATCAGCCGTTCACAACTTCTTTGACCGACCAAAGCGGACAATGGTGACCTGACGTGTGCCTGAGTCGTTTGCTGCAAAACTTTTCGAACTCCCATCCATCTTCCTACCATAAGCCTCCTATCGCGACACGTCACCCCTGCAAGACCCTTTGCAAGTTGAAGCGCCATCATGTCTTCGTCGCCCACGCATGGTAGAGGCACGGCCGCTGAGCAGGGAGCTAGGATCAGAGCGCAGATGGCAGCTAGATCATCCACAGCATCCAGTCCCACCTCTTCTCCCGCCCACTCTCGCGCTGGCTCCAAGTCTCATTCTCGATCTGCCTCTCAATCGCAGAAAGCCGCAGAGGCGCCGTCAAGCGCCAGGATTTCTCGGAGAGTCTCTAAGCCCGTCGAGCAGAAAGTGGAGCAGCCATCTGTCCAGGAAAAGCCGAGAGAGAGCGAACCGGCCGAGCAGAGACCTCCTCCACCACAGGCAAAGACCAGCGATGAAAAGACTGTTGCAGAGAATGCTACGGATGCACCTAAGTCTGCGGAGAATGACCCAGAAAAGACTGCAGCAGGTGCTGCAGTGGGCGCTGGTGCACTCGCTGGTGCAGGCGCAGCTGCGGTCACATCCAGCAGTGAAAAGGATCGCCAAACTTCCTCCCATCCGCTCGACCCTCGCGGCAGGGTCATTCCATTCACGGGCATCGACAATCTTGCTTTGCTGATGGAGAATGACGGATACTCGACCGCTTGCTACTCCATGTACCTCTTCAAGACGGTCATCGACGACGAGACGGTTTTCCAATTCTTTGAAAAGCTGGCGGATAGCTATCCCAAGTACAGGTACCGCATCGAACTGAGTCCCTGGAAAGCAAGCTCTGATGAGCGAGCGCGCAGAAAAGCCGAGAAGCGCGGCGAAACGGTAGCGAGAAAGACGCCGACAGAACAGGAGAAGAAGGGCAGAAGATCGCACGTCAGCGGCGGCATCAAGGCGGGCGGTCTGTTCAGACCTGCCAGATGGGTGTACGATGACCACTTTGAGACGCGCGATAACATCACCTTTCTCGACTCGTTGCCTGGCGGCGCGAAGGACGAGAAGGCGCTTTTCGATCAGGCGGGCAAGTTCCTTGGCCAGCATTTCGACTTTGCAAAACCTGTTTGGCATGCTCTAGTTGTGCGAGGTATCGAAACTTCGGAAGGGGCAAAATCTGCCCTGATCGTCAAGGTGCACCACTGCTTCTCGGACGGTCAAGGCATGATCATGTCCTACCACTCTGCACTCGGTGCGATGCAGATGGACAAGCCAGTGTCCGAGGTTCAAGCGTACTTTGACCGAAAGACTGGCAGCGGCAAGGTCAAGAAGCCGGGTCAGCGAAACATCAAGCCTTCGATTTGGGGCACAACAAAGCATGGCTTCCACACTGCTCGTGGTCTGTGGATGCGCTCCAGAAAAGTCTTTGAGTATGGGAAGCCTGCAAATGCTGCAGGACCTGGTAACCGTGCACCCAACCGCCTGTACTACCACTCGGACGGCATTGCCATGTCGGACATCAAATTGATTCGAAAGGCTTTTTCGAACGATAAAGTAAACCTCAGCCTCAACGACGTGGCTTGCGGCATCTTGTCCCGCGCTCTGAGACTGGCGGCTGATCGTACAGAGCCAAAGCCAGTGAAGGACAAACGCACAGCAGTATTCATTCCCATCTCTGTGAGACCGCAAGGCAATTGGTCGCTCAACAATTTCACCACTGGCGCAGTGGCATGGTTCGCCTTTTACGATCCAAAGGACAAGTCGTTCGACGCGCAGCTTCAACAAGTCCACCGAGAGATGAACAGGATCAAGCGAAGCTGGTGGCCTCGCATTTGGTTTTCCTCCTTCGGCACAGCTTCCAAGCATCGCATCTTCTACCTTCCAAACTACTTTGGTCTGGGATGGGCGTTCGAGAGGACTTATAGAGAGTACCACGTCGCTACCAACGTACCTGGACCTCCCAAACCCGTCGAGTTCGGCCAACACAAGGCCTTTTCTTATCACGTCCTGCCGCCTTCGAGTCCGGGAAAGAGCAGCTTGTCGTGCGGCATGATTTCCTATGCCGACGATTTCAGCTTGGCTGTCAGCTGCGACGATGCGCCCGAACTCAGAAAGAACAGACTGCCGGAAGAGATTTGCAGAGCTTTCCAAGACGCTAGCAAGGAGCTCATCGAGGCTGCCAAGGAGAAGCTCGGCACGGCTGGCGGCTTTGCTCATGAACAGGAAGCTGCCGCTGTCAGCTCTGATTGAGGTGCAGGTGATCATTCATGGACGTCATTGCGTCTGCACATCTGTAGCGCCGCTTCTATACCCTCTTCCTCTTTACCCGGGCTGAATACGCCTCGATCTATGAGCGTTCATCCTTCCGCGATGCTGCTAATCCTCTTTACTCGCCTTTTTGTCGTACAACACACTCTTTTGAAGATCATCGCATCTGCTGGTGATTCGTGACTTTGATGAATGTTTGAAAACATGCTCTGATCTGCAGCCACGAGGCCATGTTCCCTTCTTGTGACTTTGTGCTGCTAAATGTCTACAAGCCGGCGGTCACTTCTGCAGGAAGAGGCGCCAGCCAATCAATCGACGTGTCCTCCAGATGGTCTGTGAAGCAACAAACCAGGACAAGGCCCAGTCAGCGTTCAAGAAGCATTAGCTCCAGCCGACGTGTACTGACCATCCCAGTCGCTCGCAGCGATCTTGGCATCTTGAGTGCCTGCCTGTAACCTCCTCAAAATCGACACTGTACGCGTCTCTGCGCCCGTATCGATTGCATTCAAGCCCAGTTGCTTCGATCCGCTGTTTGAAGTGCTTACTCGGTAGCCTGTTAGATGAGCACTTGATGGAAGCGCTCTGGGCTTGAGCTGGAAGATTCTGCTTGGTCAGCGAGCGGCTCTAGACTTTACACTGCAAGTAGGCCAGCCTTTCTCCCCCGAGTGCAACCGTCTTTAGATCTCGACTCACCACTGCGACCAGCACATCGGCTTGCTGAGTACTGCTAGCCAAGGCTTTTGCTATGCGTTCCACCATCGGCGAGAGCTCATCTCCAGTCGCCTCATTTGCAGCATACAATCCCACAATCTTCAATCCGGTCTTTTTGACATGCTGTATTGCCAGTGCGATGGACACGTCAAGTTGGGGCGTCAGAGCGGTCCAGTGATGCACTAATGGCAGTGCGCGTGTAACTTCTACAGACTCGTTCGAGGTGCTCGATGATGCGAGCAATAGGCCTAGGACGGCCGATGTCGGATGGAGTCCGACATGCGCTAGAAGCGTGAAGTGAGCTGCTGGAGAGAGGACATAGCTCGCCATGGTCGGAAGCTGAATGATTTGTGCAAGGCTTGGCAGGGAGGTTGTCCCAAGTTGCTCGTGTGACAGGTGCGCCTAACCTTGTAGATCTCACCCTCTGCCGGCGGTCTTGATGTGAGAAGGCCCGTACTGCAGGTTCAGTGACTCTCTTCTCAGGCTGGATGAGTTCGGCTCTTTGCCTGATAGGATACGAAAGTCGGACTATTTCACGTTCAGGGTCATGATGGGGGTCACGAACAGTCTGGCAGTCAAGAGTCTCGCATTCAGGAGCTTTGAATCTGAGCCCGAGTGTGAATCGAAAACTAGTTCGCGCATCAATATGAATTCGAATCTTGTGTCTCGCAGCATCTAGTTAATGCGGTGTTGCGCCTGATTTGTACGCTTGCTTCATATGGAGAGAGCGACGCGGCCGTGCGCACAGTACCTCAACCTCACATCTCGCGGCACGTGACAGCACACCTCCACCTGCCGTGAAACGCACGTGGTCTGCCAGCATTCATGAATTCATCAGCTTTTTTTTTTTTTTACCCGTGCTGGACGCCATAATTTTGAATAAGAATAATCGTGAATCTTGAATCCTGAGTCAAAGTAGGATCTTCCAGCACGCCGATCGAGACGCGTCGCGTTCGCGCGGGAAGAAAATTGGCGCGCGTTGGTCGATCGTAATGATGATTTTAATTTTGAATGCTGTAGGCATGCATGCATGGCTGCGATCAAATCCGTAATGAATCTTGAATCGTGAATCTTGGTGTGATGCATCAAGAATCTTGAATGAATCACGAGTCATAGAGTCACGAGTCAAAAATGCAGCGTCAGCAAGCAGCGTGCACCATGCGACTAAAAAAATTCACAATTTCTTGTGCCGTGCAGTCAAGAGTCGAGAGTCACGAGTAGCAAAGTCGGAGTGGGCCAGAAAATGGTGTGGTGGGTTGACACTTCGTGAATAGCCCCAACTTGGAGGCCGGAAATTCGGCGCAGATGAGTACATTGACCATTCACCCCCACCTCAACTCTTTCCTCCACTGGGCTTTGGAAGGAGGCCATCCCTTATTTAGACTGGCTTACATTCTGTGAGCGCATGTCCAGATAGAGTCTCGCTGCGCTGCTACGGCAAGCTGCGAATCCTCGACCTCCAAAGTAGACGGTATTCGACCCAGCAGGCCAAGCAGCTGGGGAGGTGGTCGCAAGACTCGTAGACGACCAGAACACATCAATCTCCGCCCCTCACAAAAATGAGCGCAGCTTCCTCCGCGGGCTTGAATGGCCAAGCTGCGGCTCTCAGCGCGGCTAGTCGGCCAGCTCCGATGCAGAGAATGCCTTCGCGGATCACAGGCCCAACTGAGCCCGCTACTTCCGCGCCTCTCGGAGTCACTGCCGAAGAAATGGTGTTGGACTTGGCAGATGGCACCTCGTACAAAGGTATCAGCTTCGGAGCAAAGAAGAGCATCAGCGGAGAATGCGTGTTTCAGACTGGTACGTCTGGTGTTCTGAGCTCGCAACCCACTCAAGGGATGTCGCTTCTGACAGCGTTGCCCTTTGTGCGAAATGACGAACAGGTATGGTAGGATATGTCGAGTCCCTCACAGATCCTTCTTACGAAGGTCAGATCTTGGTGCTCACTTTCCCCTTGGTGGGCAACTATGGTGTGCCTTCTCGGAAAGAGGCAGAGTCATCGATCCAGTCTCTGCTGGCTTCTCCCTTCGAGTCCAGCCGCGTTCACATTGCAGGTCTGGTCATCTCGTACTACAGCCACGACTTTAGTCATTACCTCGCTCAATCGAGTCTGGGTCAATGGCTCACTGAGCAAGGCGTGCCCGCAATCTATGGCATCGACACGAGGGCTTTGACCAAACGCATCCGCAGCAAGGGTAGCATGCTCGCTAGATTGCTCGCTCGACGATCCGCCCAGGAAGTACAAGCGATCAGGTCTACACTCGGACCAAGCGTGCCCACCACTCCTGCCGCCGAGCTTGCAGGCAATCCACTCGCTCTGGCGCCGTGGCGAGCAGAGTTTGAAGACATTCCCTTTGCCGATCCGAACAGTCTGAACCTCGTGGCAAAGGTCAGTTTGAAGCAAGCTCACCTGTACACTCCGGCCAACACAAGCTCAGGTGGATCTCTGGCCAAGGTGGCATCGCCTCTTTTGCACCCCTCGGGTCGACCCATTCGCATTCTCGCCTTAGACGTCGGCATGAAGTATAACCAGATTAGGTGCTTCACAAGCCGAGGCGCGGAACTGAAAGTCGTCCCTTGGGACCACGACTTCCTGAACGGCGAAGCGGAGCCTTTCGATGGTCTCTTCATCTCCAATGGACCTGGTGACCCTACGAGCTGTGCGCCTACCATCGCGCGCATTAGCCAATTGCTCAAGCGCACCGGAACCGACGCGATTCCCGTCTTCGGCATCTGCCTGGGCCATCAGCTGCTGGCTCTGGCTGCTGGGGCGCAAACTGCCAAGATGAAGTTTGGTAATCGCGGGCACAATATACCGTGCACAGATCAGCTCTCGGGACGCTGCTACATCACTTCGCAGAATCATGGCTATGCTGTCCAAGCCTCTAGTCTGCCAGGCGGCTGGAATGAGCTCTTCGTCAACGCTAATGACGGGTCCAACGAAGGCATCTACAGCACGCAGGGACCCTTCTTCAGTGTACAGTTCCATCCCGAAAGCACGCCTGGACCAAGAGACACCGAGTTCCTTTTCGATGTCTTCCTCCGCAGTGTTGTTGACTGTGCCATCCTCAAGTCTTCGGTAGGGGCTGCAGCAAATGCGCTGAAGCTGCTGCCACCAGTGCCCTTCGTCGGCGGCAAAGCAGCGGACAATGCAGCTCGGAACCCACGCGTCAATGTTCGCAAAGTCCTGGTGCTGGGATCCGGAGGTCTGTCCATCGGCCAAGCTGGAGAGTTCGATTACAGTGGAAGTCAGGCCATCAAGGCCCTGAAGGAGGAGGGCCTCTACACCATCTTGATCAACCCCAACATCGCTACCATCCAGACATCGGCCGGTCTCGCAGACAAAGTGTACTTTCTCCCAGTCACTCCGGAATTTGTGCTCAAGCTGGTGCGTCACGAACGCCCAGATGGCATTTACGTCACTTTTGGCGGGCAGACTGCGCTCAACGTCGGTATCGCGATCAAGGAAGAGTTGGTAAAGATGGGCGTGCGCATTCTTGGTACACCGATCGACACGATCATCACCACCGAGGACAGAGAACTTTTTGCGCGCTCAATGGAACAGATTGGAGAGCGATGCGCGCCTTCAGCAAGTGCGGTCAATTGGGAAGAGGCTTTGGCGGCAAGCAAAAGTATCGGCTTCCCAGTCATTGTTCGCGCTGCCTTCGCCCTTGGTGGTCTCGGAAGTGGATTCGCCAAGAACGAAGACGAGCTGCGCAAGCTGTGCGTAGCGGCTTTTGCTAACTCGCCACAAGTGCTCGTCGAGAAGAGTATGAAGGGCTGGAAGGAGGTCGAGTACGAGGTTGTGCGCGACTGCAGAGACAACACCATTACAGTGTGCAACATGGAAGTGAGTAAGATTGTGGGACGTGGACCTACGTGACGCGTGCTAATTGAATCAAACGATCTTATTTTGTTGCACAGAACTTTGACCCTCTGGGTATCCACACTGGGGATTCTATTGTCATCGCGCCGTCGCAGACTCTCGACGACTCTGACTACAACATGCTGCGCACTACGGCTGTCAACGTGATCCGACACCTTGGCGTCGTTGGAGAGTGTAATATTCAATATGCGCTCAACCCCCACAGCAAAGAGTACTGCATCATTGAGGTGAACGCCAGACTGTCGCGCTCTTCTGCACTCGCCAGCAAAGCCACTGGCTATCCGCTTGCCTTTATCGCTGCGAAGCTTGGTCTGGGCATTCCCCTAAACGAGATCAGGAACAGCGTCACTCGCGAAACCTCGGCGTGCTTTGAGCCCAGCCTCGACTACGTGGTCTGCAAATTTCCTCGATGGGATTTGCGCAAATTCGTCCGAGTCAGCTCGAAGCTTGGCAGCTCGATGAAGAGTGTCGGAGAGGTCATGAGCATCGGTCGAACCTTCGAAGAAGCCATTCAAAAGGCTATCCGGTCCATCGACTTCCAGTTTGACGGCTTTGGCGAGGTGAGCGCTCGCTTGCTTCCTGATCCTTGGTGACGCAGAGCTTACGCGTGCTACCCATCTGCATGTCAGAATACCTACGCAGCCGATTCTGAGATTGACGAAGAGCTCGCAAACCCAACAGACAAGCGCATGTTTGCTATTGCTAACGCTTTCGCGAAAGGCTACACTGTCGACCAAGTCCACGAGGCCTCTTCTATCGACCGTTGGTTTTTGCGCAAACTAAAGGGTCTTTCGGATGCCGCCGTGATTTTCCGCAAGTTCCATGTGGGCAATCTCCCTCCCGAGGTGCTCGTCCAGGCCAAGCAGCTCGGCTTCAGCGATCGTCAGATTGGCGGTTTCTTGGGAAGCACCGAGCTGGCTGTCCGAAGCCTCAGGAAGGAGCACGGCATCGCACCTTTTGTCAAGCAGATCGATACCGTCGCAGCAGAATTCCCCGCCTACACCAACTACCTCTGTAAGTCGGATTCTCGTGCGAATGTACTGAATCAATCAAGAGACTGACCTGCGATGATGCTTCTGCATCTAGACACTACCTACAATGCTGCTGAGTCCGACGTCAGCTTCGAGGATCGTGGAGTGATGGTGCTGGGTTCGGGCGTTTACCGTATTGGTAGCTCCGTCGAATTTGACTGGTGCGCAGTCAGAGCTATCCGCACTTTGCGCCAGCGCGGCTTCAAGACTGTCATGGTCAATTACAATCCTGAGACGGTGTCGACGGATTACGATGAAGCAGACAGGCTCTACTTTGAGAACATCTCGCTCGAGACGGTCCTCGACATCTATGATGCCGAGAAAGCTACCGGTGTGATCATCTCGATGGGCGGCCAGACACCGAACAACATTGCGCTGCCCCTGCATCGTCAAAACGTCAAGATTCTAGGCACCTCGCCCGAGATGATCGACATGGCCGAGAACAGATACAAATTTTCGCGTATGCTTGACAAGATTGGAGTCGACCAACCGCTCTGGAAGGAGCTCACAAGCTTTGAAGAAGCACACGAAGCTTGCGCGCGATTTGGGTATCCCGTCCTTGTCAGGCCGTCTTACGTACTCAGCGGAGCAGCGATGAACGTCGTGTACTCGCCGGAAGATCTCAGCAGCTACCTTGGCCAAGCCGCCGCAGTCAACCGCGACCATCCAGTGGTCATCACCAAGTACCTTGAAGGTGCGAAGGAAATCGAGATGGACGCCGTTGCCCGCGACGGAAAGATGATGATGCACTTTGTCTCCGAGCACGTCGAAAACGCCGGTGTCCACTCTGGAGATGCCACGCTCATCCTTCCGCCCCAAGACCTTGACCCTGAGACTGTGCGCCGCATCGAGGTGGCCACAGCAAAGATTGCGGCAAGTTTGCACGTCACGGGTCCGTTCAACATTCAATTCATCGCCAAAAATAACGAAATCAAGGTGATCGAATGCAATGTCCGGGCGGCACGCTCTTTCCCCTTCGTTTCCAAAGTCTCGGGCGTCGACGCCATTCAGATGGCTACGGACATCATGCTGGGCCTTCCGGTCGACCCTTATCCACCTCTGCAGATGCCCTCTGGCGGTTATGTGGGCGTCAAGGTGCCTCAGTTCTCCTTCTCACGTCTCGCCGGCGCGGACCCTATTCTTGGTGTCGAGATGGCATCGACCGGAGAAGTCGCTTGCATGGGTCGCAACAAGTACGACGCCTACCTGAAGGCCATGATTGCGTCAGGTATCAAGCTGCCCACCAAGAATGTCCTGCTCTCTATCGGATCGTTCAGCGAGAAGCAGGAGCTGCTACCTGCTGTGCGCACCCTACATGCTCTGGGATTCAACCTCTATGGTTCTTCGGGCTCAGCCGACTTCTATTCCGAGCATGGCGTCCCTGTCATTCACCTCGAGGCTCTTCCGGAGGACGATGAGTGGAAGGGCGAAGAGGGCAGCAAGGCGGCATACTCGTTGCTCACTCATTTGGATCAAGGCCTTTCTTCATTATTCATCAGCTTGCCCTCAAAGAACAAATATCGCCGACCTGTCAATTTCACTTCTATGGGCTACAGAGCTCGTCGCTTGGCCATCGACCGCAGCATCCCTCTGATCACCAACGTTAAGAACGCCAAGCTCTTCGTTGAGGCTATCGCGAGACATCGTGCTGCTGGAGCCAACTTCCAAATCGCGAGCGTCGATTTCAAAACGAGCCATAAGAGCCACATTCTCCCAGGTCTGGTCAACGTTGCTGCTTACGTGCCTAGCTTGGCAGATCCGCAAGCGGGCGCGCGTGACCTCGCGGCTGTCACAAAGGCCTCTCTGGCCAACGGTTTCACCACAATTCAGGTGTTGCCCATGGGCCTGAGATTTGGCAACGCAGCCAATGGTATCTACGACGAAGCCTCCCTGGCAACCGCCGAGGGCAAGGTGCCTGGCGCGGCTCACTGCGATGTCGCTCTGTCGATTGCGGCATCTTCAGAAAACGCTACTGAGCTGCAGGGCATCTCATCGCGCGCTCGCGCGCTAGTCGTCTCTCCCGACGCACTTGGCAGCGACGCTGGAAAGGTGGCAGCCATTTCGGCTCACTTTGCAAGCTGGCCAGAGGCTCGTCCAATCATCACGGATGCTCACGGCAGTGACTTGGCTTCTGTGCTGCTGCTCGCAAACCTTCATGGCCGAAGCGTGCACGTTACAGGAGTCATGAGGCGTGACGACATTGGTCTGATTGCGCTGAGCAAGAGCAAGGGCATGAAGGTCACTTGCGACGTCGCCGTCTACTCCCTCTTCTTCTCCACGGAGATGTACCCCCAAGCTAGCTGCCTTCCCGGCGCTGAGGATCAAGCCGCGCTGTGGGACAACTTAGAGACCATCGACGTCTTCTCGGTCGGCAACACCCCGTACCGACTTGCTCTGGAGCTAGGCGAGGTTCCGTCGCCAGTGACAGGTATTCAGGAGACGTTGCGACTGCTCCTCGACGCGGTTAATGAACACCGATTGACGCTCGACGATGTCATTGCACGTCTGAGCACCAATCCCAGAGAGATCTTCTCGTTTGCTGACCAGCCGGACACGCGCATCGAGGTGGATGTTGATAGACCTGCAGTGCTTCTCAAGCAGTCGCACTGGTCTCCGTTGGATGGACGCTCGACCGTCGGATTCATCCATCGCGTCATTGTGCGCGGCAAGGACCTCGTGGTCGATGGCGAGAGCTTGTCGGATGGCGGGGTCGGCGCAAACGTCTCGGGGATCCTTGGCGTACCCTCGTCCAAAGCCGTCACAGCCGCAAAGGGTACCTCTGCCCTTCGCAGAGTATCGTTCTCCTCGAGCACAGCTGCAGGGCTGCGAAGCGGCACCTTGGGATCTGCGATCGAGCCGCCATCTTCTCCTCCCGCCCTCGCCCTCGGTGATGCCAAGTCGCCGGTCGTTGGCTCTACGGATCTTGTGTCCGTTTCCCAGAGACAGAGTCTCATGTCCACGCTAGCGGCCGGCGATCTCACATCGACTCCTGCTCTCGATGCTCGACTCCCATCCATCCGATCGATGCTAGTCCACCCCACCTTCACACGTCGCCACATCCTTAGCGCAAGGCAATTCAGTCGCGATGATCTCCACGCGCTGTTCACGGTCACTGCAGAGCTGCGCTTGCAGGTCGAGCGCCATGGCGTCATCGATGTGTTGAAGGGACGCGTTCTCACCACGCTCTTCTACGAGGAAAGCACGCGCACATCGTGCTCCTTCGAAGCAGCCATGACGCGCGGCGGAGGCAACGTCGTAGCAGTGAACACGTCTAGGTCGAGCGTGCAAAAGGGAGAAAGCCTGGCGGACACGATCCGTACGGTCGGCGCGTACACAGACGCAGTGGTCTTGCGGCACCCCAACATCGGAAGCGCAGAAGAGGCGGCAAAAGCAAGCCCAGTGCCCATTCTGAATGCGGGCGATGGCGCCGGCTCGCACCCGACTCAAGCGCTCTTGGACATCTACACGATCCGCGAAGAACTGGGAACGGTATCTGGTTTGACGGTTACGTTGCTTGGCGATCTGAAAAATGGCCGCACCGTTCACGCGCTGGTCGACCTGCTGGCGCTTTACGGAGCCACACTCAATTACGTCGCTCCTCCTGGTCTTGGCATGCCAGAAGAGATCAAGCGCGCCTTGGCCAAGAAAGGTGTGCGTCAGTATGAGACACAGAATGTGGAGGACGTCATCTCTTCCACAGATGGTGAGTGCCACGTAGTGATTCCTTCTTCTTGACAAGCCTTATCTGACCGAGATTTGCGTCAAACATGCAGTGCTATACGTCACTCGCATCCAGAAGGAACGCTTCGCGACGACCGAAGCATACGAGGCGGTCAAGGGTAGCTACATCGTCGATCAACGTCTGCTCAGCCGAGCCAAGAGGCAAATGGTGGTGCTGCATCCCTTGCCACGCAACGAGGAGCTCAGCGAAGACGTAGTGTTTGATGAACGTTGCGCTATCTGGAGACAGGTCAAGAACGGTCTCTACGTGAGACTAGCACTGCTCGCTATGGTGCTCGCGTAGCCATGCACGCTCGCGGCCCCACTGCGAGAGGTTTGCGCAAAAATCGACAAAAAAATAGCTCACCTCTTCCTCATCTCGAAATTCACCTGTTTAAACATCGATACGTTCGCTCGCGATTTGTAAATCTCCGCGAATCGAAAGGCGATCCATTCGCAAAGCGCAAACGAAAAATGAGATAATTGATATAGCTTACCGGTGTGATTTGTTGATGGCGCTCGTTACTCCTGCTGACGTGGCTTCTTGAGGTCTTTGACTGATTCACATTCTTCTGTGCCGCATTGCTCGCGCTCTATCTACTCTTTGGCCTGAAAGGAGACGCGATCGGCAGAGGAACGTGCAGAGCTGAGCTTGCCAGCGAATCGCAAACGTAATTGTAAGAATGAGCGAACGACAAAGCCTGATTCATGTGCATGCATGCTATTCGCAAGCCTCTGCGCTGCTACACCGTGCTCTCGCGTCCACACATTCGCTACGCTTTTGTTTTCTTTGCCGATGGGGCCGCCGGCGTACCTGTTGCCGCCGCTGCAGAGCTCTGGACGTTGACATTGACATTCTGAGTCGGACCCTTTGCGGCTTCGGAAGCTAGACTCCTGGCCTTTTCCGCCCGTTGCCTCTTTGCCTTTTCGGATGCTCTTTGACGCGCCCTGTGGCCTGCACCTCGCTCTGTGACACGACGGCGGTACATGCGACACGCAAGGCGAATCGGAAGAAAGTAGACGGGCAGAATAGTGGATCAGTCCATGCTGCTCTTGCGCTCTGCACAAAACATTCGACGTTCCCAGAGTAGGCTAGCTTGATGCAAGCTCGCGCGTTCCTCGATCACTCACTCTTGCCGATCTTGCTCAAGGTCAACTTCCCACCATCCTTGCTACTGGATGCGATCGCTTGCTGCTCCTTGCGTATCTTTTCTGCCCGCCGTTCCTTGGCTTTGTCCCTCTTTCTCAAAGACGTCGAGAGATGTGTGCGTAGAAGAGCATCGAGAGAGGTTTGGAAGGTGGGCAAGGCCGAGGGAGTGACCTGAGAAGAGATCCAAATGGAGCATGTCTTGAGCAGATGCAGACTTTTCGCATACGCTTGATCATCGGGCTGCCTAAGCGGGTTATCTCTGGTCGATCATACTTTGCCATGTGCATCCTTCCAGGCTCAAACGACACTTGCCCGCAATTGTGATCGCTTCCGACGCCCTGTGGCCGGCGCCAAAACACTCACAATAGTCGAAATTTTTTCCTTCTTTTGCTTATCGTCGTTGCCATTTGTTGCTCTGAAAAGCACACCATGCGTCGCCCCTCCCTGCACAGGTTCCACACCCATCGCTTCCTCGCCAGAGGATAACCTCTTTGTGGTGATGTAGACTGAGTGGGCAGAGGTGCTGGATGTGAAGAGAGTGCCTAGACGATTGAGAAACTGTACGCATGGAACGAGAGCGTAGGTTGTAAGCTTGAACAGTCTCAAGGTTTGGTGAGAGGTGTACATGCAAGATTCAGAAGGAGCAATCAACGCACCTCTTCATTGCTGGAGTGCGGCATCTTGCCAAGGTAGCTACTGCTCAATCCGAACTTCTGCCTTCCTTCCCTTTGTGGGCTACGAAGAAGACCAGCCCGCAAATCTAGCCTGGTGTTGCAAGATCCTCGACGTTTCCGAGAGTGGTGCGATGCTGAACGAGAAATGGAGAGAGACTGGATGATGGTGTGATTCAGATGGGTGATTGATGGTCCGTGGTCGTTAGACGCGAAGGTACTATAACGCACGTTGAATGGGTCTCGTGACTTTGGCAGCTTCTTCGCGCCAAGCTTTCGGTCGCCTGCCGACTGTACGCGTCCCGCTCACGCGCTTAGCAGCGATCACGCGAGAGGTGACTTCGTGTGGCAGGCAGGCATCCACTTACAGCAGGTTGTACGCGGTTGACCATCTGTTGTAAGTATTATATGCCGAGGTGCATGGAAACGCATGAACCTTTTCCCTTCCTCAATACTCGACTCGGACACTCGCAAAACATCGGACCGCAAGGATCAGCCAAAGACCTCAATCACAGCCAAGAGTGATCAGGCTTGCCGCCAAGTCGGGCTTGTGTAGTCGTCACGTTCAAGGTTGAGGTGACGTTGAGCTTTGCCTGAGGCAATGGCTTGGAGCTTTTGAGGCAGAGATGGTCTGATGCAGCGACGGCTCCACCTTCCTGCAAATGCGCTGCGAGAGTCAAATTCGACCGGGCTTGACAAGCATCTGAATCGATTTGCGGCGCCTGAGTCTGGAGGATATTCGCACAGTGTGTGAGATGGCTCTCTTGACGCCCAGCTCCAATGCGGAGGGACCTACGTCAAGCACGCTACAGCAGACGCTCGAGGAGCTACGCAACAGCAATTTTGGCGATTGGGATGAAGTCTTGAAGGTTCTGCGTCAGCCTTTGGCTCTGTTTGGCCTAGGAGTCGGTCCAAAGCGCGTCAAGAGGCACAGCGTTGGAGGTGATGAGCCAGATCCCACTTTTGATCAGAGTCTGGCCCCACAGCTGACTGACGAGCAGAAGGCTTGTTTACGCCCTGCCTTTTTGGGCGACGTTCAGAGGGTAATCTTGGAACGCATCGCTGTCGACTGGGCGTTGGTCGTCGAGGAGGAGATGAAATACAATGGAGCAAGACATTCGAGATGGTCCGATCTTCTTTACGCCTGGTTTGTCGCTCCGACACGGCAGAGCGAGACGGCCTCCCCCTTCGAACCCATCGTTGTGACCACTATCCAGCTAGCTACACTAAGCACGCTCTCTGCATTCTTGTCGAGCCCGCGAGCGACACAGCATGAGAGCACAGCTCGCGCCTTGACGCGCATCGTTCAGATGCTCTTCAGTCGCCAAGCACAAGCATACGAGGCAGCCTCTCAAGTCGAGCTCAGCAACCCACACGCCGAGTCGACGGCATCTCACACAGATATGCCCTACCCGCTGGACCTCTGCTACATCCACGAGACGCTGCGAATACAATCCGTCGATGAACGCGCATTATCAAGCAGCGTGTCCCCTCAAGCTACACTTCGATGGGCTCAGTGCGTTCGACTTCTCTTTACGCTTCCTGCAAAGATCTCAAATTGGAGCGAGGGCCAAGAAGACTTGTCTAGCATGCTTGCTCGGCCAGACGAGGCGCGAAGTCTGCAGCAGCACGATGAGTTTGGGGCTTATCTTGCTGAACAGTTGGAGCAGCTGATTGGCATTGGGACTCAAGCGGACAGTCTGCGCGTGTTTGCGAGCAGAGTACTCAGGAGCGGCACAGCTGCTCCAATTCCCCTTTCGGAGGCTTCAAGTGGCCATGCAAGACGAGACTTCTGGTCAGCTCTTTTGCGCTGCGTTCTCAGGCGGTGCGAGATCCTAGCTGGTCCACATCGGTCTGACACGTACGTTCGCCCAATTTCTGAGGGACTTGACATAGTGGACTCGGAAGGTGGCGTCGAGGACCAAGTCGCGCTTTATTCCGCCAGGTGGCAAATCCTGCTTTTGCGCACCTTGCAGCGGACCGAAAGCCAGACGTTCCTTCTTTCGCTCTTGGCATGGTTCGACGTGGTATCGTGCGGCCTGGGCTTGAAACGAGCTGCCCCGATCGTCCAAGACGGTCCTTCGAGAGGGCCTGTCCCCCATGAAGAGCACCGCGACTTTTGCTCGACAGGCAAGGAGAATCTGAGAAACGCTATTGCGCTAGTCATAAAGATTTTTCTCGGACTGTCGGGGACCGATAAGCCGCTGCAGCACATATCAGATCTGGCTTCGGACTCGAGCTCAAGCGAGGAAAGCTCCGCAAGCTCGGACGAGCGCCAGCGGGCTGCCTTGCCGTGCAAGAGAACCAGCAGAGGTCCAGCTCGCCTTGCGCCACTGCTTATTGAGGTTGTTCGAGGTACACGATCAGCTCGTCATTGGTCGCCGTCGCTCGCAACGGCGCTGGCTTCCGTCATCCAAAGTGCGGGAAGCAAGGTCATGCAGCGTATTGCCAAAGACGTGCTTGAGACGTGGTCGGATGCGAAACGCTGCCAAATCGACTTGCGTGAACGCGAGCTGTGTGAGTGTTCCCATTTGGAATTGCGGTGAGACTTCGAAAGCTGCGCTGCACGGAGCTGACCACCAAGCGGGAACGCGCTATTCGAACGCGGATACTCGCAGACTTGACTACGCTGCTAATTGCTCTGCCTCTGCCCTCGCCTTACGACCCTACATTCATCGAGGGAGTAGGAGCGCACCTGTCCCACTTGGATCCGTACATTCGCAGATTGGGAATGCTATGTGCAGAGCTGTCGAGCCATCACGCCGCCCATCAGCAGAAGTCCAAGTCAGGCGATCAAGAAGCGCCAAAGACCTTGTCATTCAGCAAGTCCATTTGGGAGGGGCACGGCGAGGGGCGAGAAGAAGCCAGAGTCCTTAGAAAATTGAGTGCAAAATTAAGAGAGGGGACCGAAAGCGGCGGTTCCGAGCCACATTTGCGAGCCCCTCACGTCAGTGCAAGCGAGGCCGGTCGGCTGTTGGGAATCGTGTTCGAAATGCGACGCGGTTGCGATCCATTGCCTGAGCCGATACCGGATGCAGGACAGCCACACAGGGCACACAGCCCAGCACAGATAGTAAGCCGTCCAAAGCCCATCTCTAGAAGTCTTCCCACACGTGTTGCACCTGCAAGCAGGCTACAGAGACACGATCAGGACTCGCCGTTGGGGTCCTTGCTCGCCCTTGACAGCTCTGGGACCAACGTTCGCAATGACAGCATGCGTCGACCACTCATCGTCGACTTGTCGCAGACGGAAGAACGCGATGAAAAGGTATCTAGCTCGTCTGCTCGACAAGATGGACTACGACCCGCTCCCGCGCACGAGTTGGAAGAGGCCGAGTCGTCTGCATCTTCCTCTGGAGAGGACTCGTCTGCTTCTGACGCGGGCGACGAAGAGCGCGCCCACTTGCAGTCCACTTTGAAGGGCCTCAATCTGGCCAATGATGCGGATGACTCGACCATCAGGGCGGCTTTGGAAGCGCATCGCAGAGCGCAAAAAGCCAAGGAGACCAAGGCTTCGGGGCAGGCGGAGGATGAAGAGTTCGGCATGTCCGTGCCCAAGAAGAAGAGGCGAAGGGTCCCGGTGTATGTGAATGAGCTCCCACCTCTGTTAAGAGACCAGGATAGATCGGCCAATAGATTGGCGCTGAGACATGCCGAAGCGCTCGTTCGTCGCAAAAGAGGTTGGGGCGGTGAAGTGGGTGAGTCATACGCGTGCGGCTGTCAGGTGTGGTGAAGTGTAGGGCGTTTACGTAGGCAGAGTGCACACTCCATTTCTGCGTCTAGAGGAGAACAGCGCGGAGCTGCTCTATGCGTTGGTAGCGCTGCAGAACAACTTTGGCATCAAGCACTTCGAAGAGATGCGGACGAAGGCAGTGGTTGCGCTCGTCGTAGCCGCGCCTCGTATTACTGCTCCGTGAGTGGATGCAGTCGACAAGACCGGACGGCCTCTCGCTCATGCTACTCGGCTCTGCCCCTCTCTTTCAGCCTGCTTGCCGAGCAGTACTTCAACCATCAATACTCGTTGGCGCAAAGGAGCTGCATGCTGATTGCCTTGGCTACGGCCGTTCGGGAACTCGCAGGCTTGCCAGCGCTGCACAGCCTTGAAGCGGCCAACGAGAGCCTGATCGGCACGGCCATAGATCGCGCAAAGACGGAAGGAGAAGCTCGAGTGCCGGAAATCCAGCGCGAAAAGGCCCTGCAGGTCAACTCTACTTCGAGGAGCTCGCGCTCTGAATTGTCCGTGTCGCGAGAGGAGAGAAGCTCGCAACACGCAAGCTCAGTGGACAATTTGGCGAAGAGGTATCCTTCCACCTTGCCAGGTGCGATGCTTGCTCCTCTCACTCGATACTTGGACGTAGCAGTAGTGTATTTTCTGCGGCCTCTCATTCAGCGACACTGGATCGCCTTGGACGAGCTATCGCGCTCAGCAAGCTCCAATTCTCGCCAGAGCACTGCAAATTCCATCTTACGCCCCCGCATGAGTACGCACGGAGGTGGCTCGACTATCGCAAGCAGAAGGGCAGGGACGGGTCAAGTGCTGAGCCCGAGCATGGTGTCGCGTTACTTGGACTGCCTTGCCATTCTAGCGCACGCCGCCCGACATGCCGTTGGTTTCGCTCGTACCCTGGTCCCCCAGCTTTTTGAACTCGTCCTCGCTACCAATACGCGCATGCTATGCTTCTCGGACTTGGAGCTGAACGACAAGGACGAAGCAAATGAGCAGCATGAAGCCGGAGCGCCGGACACGAGCAAGTTGAATGGTTCGCGTCGACATCTTACGGATGCCCGAGAGGCTATCAGCGCTTCTTCCGCCAGCTTGATTCTAGTGCTACTGGATGCGTGCTGGGAGATGGACGGGGGACTCGCACTGATGGATGAGCTTTCAAGAAGCACCACCTCTTCTCAAGCTGGCATTTCTTCCGCCATCTTTGCGGACATCATCGCTTGGACCGAGGCCTTGTTTGAGACAGAGGATGCTAAAGGTAGACGGGCGGCGTCGTTTGGAAGGAGCGGACGATGCGCTGCTGCGATACTTGTGCGAGTGCACGAGATCAGGTCTCACCTCGGTCAGAGAATGTAGTCAGTCCACTTCATCCTTCTCATCCTGCGTGCGGCCGCTGTCGGCTCAAGCACCTGCAATGCGATACGCGTTCAGACCAACAGAAACATTCGTCTCACGTAATGCCAGTCACATTCTCGATCGCTCTTCAAAGCTGAAGGAGCCTCGAGCTTTGCAATTTTTGCGGTGCGTAGCGCACCCGCTGAATCTTCCGAGCGATAAGCCTCGCATGAACGCAAGCGCGAAAGCCACATGGAAGCCGCTCAGACCAAAAAGAGGGGTTGTGAAATGTATCGATATTGACTTGCTTCAAGAAGAGAATGCGGCAGATAAACGACTGTTGCGAATGTTGCTATGGAGTCAAGGTCACTCGTCGCTGCAACCCCCTCGAACGGCTTGCTGATGAAGTTGATAGGCCTATTCGAGAGTGATTTTCGCGAGCGAGCAGTGAACGAAAGAAGAAAAGATAGGGTAGGATGGGGGGGGGG